GATAAACAGAATCCAGAGAAGCGAACAAAGAATGCCTTACAGAGAAACTAATGTAGAATGCCTAGATAAGTACATACTTATTTATATTAAATTTAAATCAGAAAATGTCTTAAAAGATTAAATCTAATTAAAATTTTTATAAATCAGCTTTTATACAAACATATGTATGTATGTATTTAGGTATTTAGATTTTCTTAAAAATCGGTATGTACATACATTCATTATTAATTAAGCTTAAAATTGTACTTCCTCACTCTTGTACTTCACTTCATCGACTGACTTCAACTTCGCTGCAAATTGAACAAAGCAAAACATGATTTTTATGCGAGACAAATTTCCACAGAAAGTAACGGTAGAAAAAGAACTTTTGGATATTCATTCTATTTTTCAGCTGACTACGATGCAGCATTCTACTTTGCATTCCCGGAAATGAAGCAAAGAAGCGAAACAAATAAAATGTTGGAGGACATTCTACTTTGCATTTCCTGAAATGAAGTAAAGAAGCGAAACAAATAAAATATTGTAGGACATTATACTTTGCTTTCCCGGAAATGAAGTAAAGAAGCGAAAAAATTCGAAGGCATTATAACGCTATCCCTTCTAGAACACGTTACCACTAAAAGCGATTACCCATTTTTTGCTGGGTAGCTTCCCTAGTATATTCAGTTTTTTTGTGTGTAAAATTTACTGTCGCACTGTGGTATCAGTGTTGTTCTCCGCGATAATACAAATATGATTTCTTGCCGAAGATTTCCACATTTTTATGTAATTGTTTGCAAGTTTCTTTCAAACCTTAACCATAACGTTCTTCAGGCAGGAAAATCAGAGCGATCAGACAGATGCTTTTACTTGAAAGGTTCCTCAGTGTTTTTAAATTTTTGGTAGATTTCCATTGTCGTGGAAAAATTTTACTTTTCACCAAGCACATACAATATATACATAGGTAGTTTAGAGCTCGCATTATTTTATCAAATAGTTAGTAATGATTGAATTTTTCTAACGAGTTTGTGAGACAAAATTATAAAATAGATTTTTCAAAAAATATTAAAAAAAATTAGGAAAACGATTAAAAAATTACAGCAAACAATACACTTTTAAGCATAACCAAATTATTCCAAATAAATTTAAAAGCATGTTTTATTTATCTAAATGTTAAGTATTTCTGTTTTACATTCTACCAGTAAACAAAGCGACCCGTTGTAGTATTGAAATTGTACACATAATCAAACACAGAGCAAGATAGTTATTAGTTATTTCAAACAAGTTAATTATATATTTATGAGCCTGTTACTTATATGAACAAAAGAAATACCCATGAAATTTCCTATACCGGTTCGCACTAATGTACATATATAAAAGTAGTGTTTTAGTGTATCTATGTATGTATGTTCCACAGCTGTTAATTTTTTCTCCTTAAATTTTTCTTAATAAGCGGTTAATTAAACTACATATACTTATCTAATAAAATATGAATTTCTATTGAAATGTGTTAACACTTTGCCCTTTTTTCTAATTTAATGCATTCAGTACTCATACAAGAGCCTGGAATGGAGGTAATTTTTTGCTAGCGTATTTGCTTTAGGCTTTCCACAGCGCGATTTAGAAATAATTTTTTTTTTTTATATCTTAAAAAATACATACCTTCTTTCTTTTTATTAAATTTAAGGACGATATCAGCGACGATGGTAATCCGCCACCATCGCTGCCGCCACCGGCTTTAAATGTCGGCACCAGCAAGGAAGGTAATTCACTAAATTTAGGTATGGCACAAATAATTGTTACTGCCGCAACCCCAATGGTTGAAGACGGCACAGATAAATCTTTCCCTCCGGTAGGAGAGAGTGATGGCGGCAGTGCAGCTGAAGCTGCAGCAACAGCGAAAACTGCCAGCGGCGGCAATGACAAGGCTGTAAAGCAGAAAAAAGTGGAACCCAAACCAGTGGCACCAGCAGCAGCGGCCGATGAAAATGAGAATCATGAAGGTAAATTGGGAGAAGAGGAGCTCTTTTAAAAGGCTGCCACTTTAGTAGTATTCAGGTGCTGAAATGGGAAAATTAGGAGAAAGCATTGGTATATATAAATGGGTCAATCCATGTGAAATCGACCAACCAATGGTTGTAATCGACCAAATTTTTGATTTGGTTGAATTTTGGTAAAAACTTTTATTTTATCATATAACGAAGTTCTGGCAAAGGAAAACATTTTTTTTCGAAAGTTCTTGCAAGATTCTAAATTTCAAAACTTCCGGGATTTTCCAATTGTTTTTTGTTTTTAAAATAAAAAGAATTGACACAATTTTGAAATGCGAAAAAATCGTAAGTGCGAAAACTGACAAAATCGATTTTTGCTAAATTTTTAGGTATTTGATAACCTTCAACTTATCTTAAAAGATCCTGAAATTTTCAAGAAGATGTTGTTTTGGATAAAACTTTTTGAACTTTGAAATTTTTTTGCAATCTCTAAATAAAATTACATTGAAATTCTTAAATTTATATTTAATTTAAAGTTTATAACAATAACTTTTTTTTCAAAAATTCATATCTTAAAAAATACCTTCATGAAAATTAAGGCTTCTTTTAAGATCAGTTAGAGGCATTGTACAAAAAAAGAGCTAAAATCTTTATATAGATAAGTTTTTGATTTTACGTATTTTAAATCTATATTTTTTTTACATCTCGAATTTTTAAAAATATAATTTTTTTTTAAGGTCAACTCTAAAATTAGGCCGGAACCATTTTTGTAACAAACCAGTTTTTGAGACATTCTAAAAATAAAATTGCGAAATCGTGGAAATTTTGAAGTTTCGAAATATTTTTTTTTTCCTTTGGCAGAATTTTGTTCTTTGATAAACAAAAGTTCTGACCAAAATTCATCCAAATCGAAAATGGTCAATTGCAAACATTGATCGATTTGACATGAATTGATCCAAAATGGCTTTTATGTTTTACTCAGTAGATCAATTAAACATAAATATTGGTATGTAATGAAAATGATTATTTATACTAGTAATATTTTGGGGTAAGAACTTGGTTTTTAAGATTTCTAATACCTTTGCAGACGACACGCACTCATCCGATCAGGATCCCGACTCCGAGGTAAAAACTCTGCAGGAAGCCGAAGATCCATTCAATGAAAAGGGCAGCGGTGATGCTGGCGACGGATTCGAGGCGAATTTCGAAGCACATTTCGATGCCAACTTCGATGATGCTTTCTCCGGCGGTGCACAATCAGCAGATATCAATGCCGAGCTGAGCGCTGATGATGTACAAACACCCAAGCAGGTGGTGGGCGGACGTGCAAGCATACCTGAGGAATTGGACTCAAATCAATTGGCACGATTGCAGAATCTAAAAGAGTCAAATGCTTAAACGCAGCAAATGAATAAAAGTGAAAAGCGTGAATGAGCAGTTGCATTTAAATACAAACATAGTACTCATAAATTACAGCAATGAAAATGCACAGTGGGAAAAAAATATTAAAAGCGGATATGCAATGCAAAAAGTTCAGCTGCAACTGAAAAGAAAGTTGCGAAACGAGTAAAAAAAAAAGAATAAAAAAAGTACTTGTTGTACATACATACCTACCTACATAAATATATACAGTATGTAACAAAATTGAGCGTAAAGAAGTTTGTGAAGGCATATTGGTGGTGAATTTTGCATTTGTAAATGAAAAACTTGCCAACTAAGCGTCTTGAACGAAATTTTGTCTCCCCCCAAAATTAGCATGTATGTTGGCAACTCTACCAACCAGAGGCTTCTACTTAGTAACTAAAATGCTTCACAGCACATACATAAAATAGATATTAATATTAAGAAATCTCACAGAAGTACTTAAAAATGGAATGGCATTTAAAAATTGTTAATCCCATACTCGTATTTTCAAGAATGGAGCAAAAATTGTATGCCGATTTCTTTTTCGAAATTGTGTGAACGCTGCAACTTGACTGTGCTTCATTGCGCAATATCCAGATACCCGAAACACAAGCTAATACTCATACATATATATGTAAAACCTGCATAGATATACTTACGTATTAATATATACAACTCCACTTTAATTGAACTATAATTAGGGAAAATGTTGCAACTTAATCTAAGTAAGTCAAAAGTACTCATTACCTTTGTATTTTATTAATTTGAGTATAAATACTTTAGGGTGGTCCTTAAAAATATCTATATCGTAAGTTTGTATGGGG